TTTGAATTTTTATTTAAAAACGAAGCACTTTTCTCTTCAAAAATTTGAGATTTTTCTTTAAAAACTTTTCTTCTTTTTGAAAAATTTGTTGATCTCATTTTTGATGGTTCAACAATTTGCCAAAAAATTATTTTTCTCGCTTGACGTTTCGAAAGATTATTCTCCTTTGAAAAATTTTCAACTTGATCTTTAAATTCTTTTGAATTTAGTTTTATTGCTTTGTTAATTGTTTTAACATCATTTTTAACATCTTGTTTTGAATACATATTTGCATTTGAAACAACTTCTTCCTTTTCAACTTTTGACTTTTCAATCCAAACTCTTTTATGTTTATGATGTTGAAATTTATATGAATTCTTTGTAAGATTATTCTCAACTGTACTTTGATTTGAAAAGAATCCTTCATTTGACGTTTGCTTATTGTCTTCTTCCACCATCTTTTTGAATTCAGGTTTTACATTTTCAACATTCCCTGTTGTTACGAAGACTTGATTTGGAAACACAACATCATCAGTGCATTTGAAGATTGGATAAACAACAGTGTTCGATTCAAGAAAATGAGCACCTTTTTCACTAAGAATTTTCTCAAATTCTTGTGTATCCAAATAGACTTGATCAACAACCACTCGAGGAATTTCAATTTTTTGTCTTTTGAATTGACTTCGCATTTGAATTTTCCTCCTCATTGTCACTATCATCCGTTTGACTCTCATGTATTTCCACAAACTCCATATCACAAACTTTCGAAGTTGAGGGTTTATTAGTTTCAATTTTCATTAATAAATCTTCACATTTTTCTTTCCCTTTAAATGAATTTGCAACATTTATGACAGACAACTGTGAACAATCTACATCTTCTAAATCACTAATTTCACTAATATTATCAGAATTATCTTCAATATTAGCAATATTAGTTTCACTATTGGATGTAGAATTCTCAGTCTTTTTCAAAATTCGAAGTTGTTCTGATTTAGTTAAGGTTTCATTTACAATTTTTACTAAATCATCAGCATCAAGATAATCTTCGACTTTTGCAATTCCATATCTAAATCTATCATCTGGAATTTTGTTAAAATCAGAGATTTCTTTTTCACAATCATATGAAATACTATCAACCTTAGCTCTATCATAAGCTAAAAAAGGTAGTAATTTTCTATGTTGTTCCTTACTAATTTCACATGAATGATGTAACTCAGTTAATTTTCCATATAATCTTTTTGCTGAATTACAAAAGATATTTCTCTGGGCTAACAACAAATTTATTTCTTTTCCTAACTTTTCTCTATCTTCCATGATATTTGACACTTGTAATTCTAAGTAATCAATTCTAGTGATTTTTGAATCCAGCATTTTTCTTGTCTCTAGTAATTGATCACTTAACTTTTTGGCTTCACTGCTAGCAGACACAACGATTGAATCAAAGTAAATAACAGTTTCATCAAAAGATACTAACTCAGAATTATATGCAGAAACTGGAATGTTAAAAGATTCAAGAATGTTACGTACCTTAGTAGTCATAGGCGACTTATCAGTAGACTTCGAAACGAAGCATCGCCCACACACTTCGTCAGTCTGTTCATCATCTGAATCTTCTTCCATTTTTGCATACATGGCTCCATGAGTTGGATTTTTCATTTCTTCATCATCTGAACCCGAAGACCATATTTGATATGTGCCATCTGATTCATTTTCTCCATGAGCCATCAATGACAAATTCTTTGCATTCTTCTTGACTTCCTCCAGTTTCTCTGTGTAGTAAGCTTCATCTTTTGTTTTATTCTTCTTTTCTTCCTTCTTTCTCAACAAACAATCCACAGCCAAATGATTTGCTCCATAACAATAATGACAATTGATTCCTGTATCACCTTTCAATTGCATCTTCATTTTCTCCATCTCATTCTTCGGATCTATCTTCATATCTATTTTCTTCTCATCCAGTTTGTTTTTGTTCTCAAAGCTTCCCTTCGAATCTGATGACTTATTTGGATTAAAAGGTTTCTTAAAAAATTTCTTTACCCTATTGTTTGTGTAAAAAGCAACTGCCTCATCATCATCAGAATTCATCAGAAAACCTTCGTCTTCATCAAACTTTGTTTTATAAATTTCTCTTTCTGAGACCTTCGAAACTAGAGCCAAAGGACCAGCAAGACTTGTTACAGCTTCTTCAGCTATCTCATTAACTTCATTTTCATGAGATTTCAATTGATTGTATAAGTCATTCAAAGTCGAAGTATCAAAACTTTGTTGATTTTTCACCATCATACTCACACTCCTCCACTCCTTTCGAAGTCCCATCACAAATATCAAATTGTACTCCATTGATGACCTGATTATACTATAACGATTACAACGATAGATTAACTCGTTGAACCTATCATAGTATGCTTCAATTGACTCATTTTCTTTTTGTTTAAAGTCTTTGAGTTGCACCAGACATTGTTTTACTGATGTGATTTTCGTCTTTTCACTTCCTTGAAATTTATCCTTGAGATTGTTCCAGATGTCTTTAGCTGTTTTGCAAGTTCTGACATAATTGTACACTACAGGAGGTAATGCACCTCTTAATTCCCTCATGCATCTCTTCTCTAGACGTTTTAAACGTTCGGTTTGATTATCAACTTCTGAACTGCTTGAAGACACTCCGATTGGCTGAACTTGTGCAGGTTGATTAACATCTCCTGTGATACACTTCCATAAATCTTCATCCAAACCGTTCAAGTAATCTTCCATACGATCTGCCCATTGATCATAATATTCTGGAATGAGCATTGGAATTTTTGTGGATGATCCAAGCAAATGAGAAAATGAAGTCATCGAATTAAGATTGAATGACGCCATTGTTGTATGGACAAAAACTTCAAGATGAAACTTGACTTTTGAGAATTATGAAAATCAAATTGTATAATTCAATTCAGAATTACACAAAGAACACTTGATTAACAAAATTTTTTGCAGAATCAAATCCTAAATTGAGATCTAGATAAAAATTTCAAATTCAAAAAGGACGGAAACTTTTTGAATCAAACAGTAGATTCAAAAACCTTTTTGATCGAATGAAAATCAAATCACAGAAAGGATTCCCGCTCTGATACCAATTGAAGAGATTTGTAATCAAGTTTAAAGATCAATTTATGTAAGAATTAAGGAAAAAGAATCACGATGAACAAGAGAGTAAATATAATCTTTGATCAACTCATATTATGCTTTCTGATTTACAGAGTATAACAGAATTCTCTGTAAAGTGTGTGAAAAGTCTCTCTTTCTCACATTGTACAGACTCCTATTTATAGGCGTACAAAAGCATAATAAACTACTAAGGACTAGACATTAAAGCTTAGATAAAATGCCTTAGTAATTATAACATTACATTCGAAGACACAACTTACGAAGACTAACAATCCTTCGTAACAAAAACTATACTTCGACATATTACAATACAAACCCTAACATATATATATATATATATATATATATATATATATATATATATATATACACGTGTGTGTATGTAATGTTGTGAGTGTTTTTTTTTTTTTGTTCATCCCTTACAACTTCAACCTCAAGCATAAGTCTCATCCTTGTGAAGTAAAGTCAAGAACACAAAGAACCAACAACACCAACTTCATTCATCATCACCCTATACCTCCATTTTAACCACCTAATTCCACCCTCAAAACCACCTCAAAAATACTCTCCAAACACCCTCCAAATACCATCCTTAAACCTCCTCCAAAAACCTTTTTAAATCACCTCACCATCACCACCTTGCTGTTTTTCGACATTAGAATTTTCATGTTAGAAAACAAAAAACCGAGCACAACAACGCCAAAATACTACTAGGGAGATTTTCACCATCAATTCTTCAGGACCTTATCTACGTCTAGAAATTTTCGTGGACGATTTTGACCATGGAAACCCAGAGAGACGTGAGAGAGGATTGGCTATCCAGAGAGATTTCTGTTTTCAAGTTCAGAATCTTCATGTTAGAAAACAAACAACCGAGCACAACACAGCCAAAATACTACTAGGGAGATTTTCACCATCAATTCTTCAGAACCTTACCTACATCTAGAAATTTTCTTAGACAATTTTGACCACGGGAAACCCCAAAGAGACGTGAGAGAGAATTGGCTATCCAGAGAGATTTACTCCGAAAATCTACATCCATCACCACCCAAAGCTCCTTCAACTTCACCATCTTTGTTGCCTGACACCACCAAAATTACAACCTTATTCCACCTCCTAACACCCTCCAAATACCCACTCCAACCTCATCAAATCTCCTCAAACACCCTATACCCGTATACAAATACATGACTCGTGTACTTTGCACTGTTTTGTAAACAACCCATTTACATGAAAATGAACTTTTTACTACTTATCAAATACCGGATTGATCATTGAACAAATATCGACCAGTCGCTCCAAGAGTCCCAATATCGTCCAGTCCATTCAAAGAACAAATATCGACCAGTCGTTCCATGAGTCCAGTTCAGTCAATTTATTGACGAACCTACTTGATATATATTTATATACTCATATACTTTATTATAGCTTTATGTCATTTAAATATAGTCATTTATATTATTTATAGCTTTATGTTATTTAAATATAGTCATTTATATTATTTATAGCTTTACGTCATTTAAATACAGTCATTTATATTATTATAACTTTCAGTCATTTATAGCTTTCATATTTATACTTATTCCGCAATTATTATTCTTTATATATATATATATATATATATATATATATATATATATATATATATATATATATATATATATATATATCTTATACCTTTAACTCATATATCTGTCACACAGTAACTGGTAACTGAGCCTTTTGTTGTGGTGATCAGATTTTTATATTTCCAACAATCGGTATCTGAGCTGATATAAAAGAATATTTTCCAACACATTTTATTAAGGTAAAACTTCCCAATCATAAATCCATTATTAAAAAAATTGTTTATTCTGAAATACATTTATTGAAAATCAGAGTAATATAAGAAACGAGAAATCCTGAATGTTGCTGATGAGTGTGTACAGTCTTGCCTTTGCCTTCCTACGAGCACCGATAAAACCATAATCGAAGAACCTTGAAACACTATGATACGCTCCCTTCTGCACTGTTGGCTCCCGCGAATCCACTATCACTAAAACCAGATAGATTCTTAATCAATAGTCCAAAATCCTCAAGTTTGACCCAAAGTTTGGGTCAAACTTTGTCAAAAAGTCAACGAAAGTCAACAAAAGTTAAAGTCCAAGGCTAGTTGAGTATGTCATGCGTACTTAACTTACGCCCAACATACTCAACTTTACCCAGTGTACGCGAGCTGGATCCAACATTTCCATTAAGCACTTTATCCCTTAAGACCATTTGTCCATAACTCAGATCTAGATTGTATACATCGACTTAAGTCATAAAGTTTCCACCTTTATGACATTCCATGGCTAGAAAAGGTTCAAAAGCCAAAAACTCTAACTTATTAATTCATTAAGACATCATAAATCTTTCATGAAAGGGATAGGAGGACCAAGATCACATTTTTATGATTCTTAATAGCTTCATAATGGATAAAGTTTCCAACTTTATTCATTAGAATGGTCCTAACAACAAGATCTAGTCTTTTAGTATTAAAGGGACAAAAAGTGCATCTTTTTCAACTTAATCGATTAAGTCCAAGTCTCCAACCTTCATATCTGAATCAATTTGATGTTTAGATGGATAAAATTTCCAATTTTATCCATAAGAAGGTCAGCAACTATCAAGATCTAAACTTTATGCACTTAAAGTGACCAAAAGCTCATAACACCTAAAACTAGCTAGATCTAACAAATACATCATCAAGATTCAATCTTAATACCTCTAGAAGAAAGATCAATGTAAACAAGGTCTAGATATACAAGATCTAATGCAACCTACACTTATCCAGTGAACTCCTTCTCCAAGATGCACCAAGGACACTCTAAAGCACTTAAAAACACCTTATTTTGCTCACAAGTCTCAAACTAGAGTTAGGGTTTCAAGGGATGATGTTGTAGGGGTGGAGGCTAATAATGGAAAGGGTTTATGGGAGTTAAGGAGCTTAAATAGGGCTCAAAACCCTCAAATTAGGGTTTGGCATCTGATCACGTATGCCCAACGTACCAAATGGTATGCCAAGCGTACGCTCTTCAATACGCATCTTGATCAGCTAGTATGCTTAACGTACTACTTGTTGGATTAGGTGTCTAATCTCATAACTATAATTGGTATAAATTTGAATTGATGGTAGCACAATCCTTTCGGGTTGCCCTCAAACCTAGCAATTGGACAGAATTATTTTGGAGATAGAGAATGATTTGTTATTTGATCAATAAATTGAAATGAATGGTTTGTTAATATATTATGGAAATAATATATTAATTAGAAATAGTAGCTTGATTGTTCAACATAGATTGGGGCATTGTGATTTGTTTTCCCATTACCAAGGCTAATTCGACATCAGTTAATGCAAGACAACCGTAGTAATTGTCTATAAACAACTTGATATGAGAAAATCCATTTAAGAATCTTATTTACTTGTCATTTGAATCTTTGAGACATCAACTCCTTTCAAAATTCTTGCAACACAAATCAGGTCCTGAAGATTCATCAAAGGGAAGTCAGCTACCGAGAAGTCGAATGCTACATTGTTTTCTCAGACAACATGATATCGAAAATTCTATAACACTACCTCGAAGAAAACGTCTTTGGAAATGTTTAGAACTCGGAATATCTTGACCAAATACCAAATATCCACTTCCCTTTTTCCCAGTATTGCATGGAATTGAATCTTCATTTTTTTATATTCTTCTTTGCCTTCGAACTTATCAAAGATTTGATATTGTGCAGCCATGAACATCATTTTGTTGATTGGAAAGTCCAACTCATTAAAATCAGTGTTTTTTGTAGCATAACTCTTATTGGGAACTTTTTCGAAATCGTGCATCTCTTCACTTATAACCAGGCTTCAATATTTTCGTAGCAATAATGCTTTGAAGGATCACCCTTTTCAAGACCAGGAGGGTCGCTTTCCCTTTGACGAAGAATGCTTTGAATTTGCCTTTACCTTTCTATTTCTTTTCCTAAGGACACCTTTTTCTCTTCGACAACTGGTTCTGTAGAGATACCCTTACCTTTCCTTTTCATCTTTTCTGTTGATGGAGGTGGCTTCGATGAACTTGATCCTCCAACACCAGAACCAATCACAACACCTTTCGTCAATGGTCTTGTTGTTGTTGTTGTTGAAGCAGTTGTAGACTAAATATTTGGCAATGAAGTGAGAAATTTGTGTAGACTTGACCTTTCCAACCACTTTCGCATCACTATCGCCTTTCCCTGATCCACTCACTCCCATACCAACTTTCGATCCCATGCCAACACCATCCTCCCCCCCCCCCTTCCACCCTGTGTGAACAGGTGGGCAGCCGTTGGCATAAAGTTGACCAGTTTCGTGTGGAGCTAACTTTGTGTGAATAACAGATCCCAATAACCGAAATTTCTGAGTTAAAAACTTAGGAGTAAGTAACTCAAATGAAGAAGATCCAACTTTCGAAACTAACATAGTAAGATTATTCAAGATTGCTTTCAATACTGCAACTTCCTGAGCATCAGACTCACCTTTCGTATCAAATTTTGGAATAAAGGAGTTATACCACTTAACCAAATTGGTGACAACATCAACAATGATATCCACTATGGTGTAAAAAGAAGAATAATCATGATGAAGAGTTGCAACCTCCTTAGCCATTTCAGAACGAAGTTCCTCAATTTTCAGGTTCACATCCTCATGAGCCTTTTTGACATCCTAAACAAACAACACATGTCGTTCCTTCGCAACCGCTTTCAATTACTTTAATGCATTTAATAAAGAATCAGATTGAGACTTCACCTGCAATTCATTACTTCTATTAGGCCTGTGCATGGGTCGGTTTGGGTCGATTTTGACCTAAAACCGAACCCAAACTGATGATGATCGGTTTCTGAAAATTTGAACCCAAACCGAAAACCAAACCAATGGGTTCAGTTTATCGGTTTTCGGTTTTAAACTTCGGTTTCACAGTTCGGTTTCGGTTCTTTAATTCAAACCAAATCTAAAACTTATTTCTTAATCTTACCTCAACTCACTAACTATATAATGGTGAGGATATGTGATATTTAGATATCCCAAGCGATACGGGACTCAATCAACGTTGGGGATAATAGAAAGAAAGAGGGCGGAGAAGTTATATAGAAGAGAATAATGGTTGAGTTTCGATAATGGGGCGATGTGGGATGTGGTTAAGTCGTTGGCAAAATAAATGGAGAAAAAAGACGCTAGCAAGTTTCGAACCTGCGCCGATTCCTACAATTGCCCAACATGGTAACCACTAGAGCAACGTATTTGTTTGTGTTTATAACCCAATGACTACGTATATATACATATATAACTCACAGAATACATATAATATATGAAATTTGGTTCGGTTCGGTTTCTATCGGTTTTACCAAACCCAAAAACGAACCCAAACCGAAAATTTTGGTTTTTGAAAATTCTAAACCCAAACCGTCGGTTTATCCTTCAGTTTCGGTTTTGTCGGTTTTTCGGTTTCCGGGTTCGGTTTTGCTCACCTTTAGCTTTTATCCATCCAATCCAGTGTATCCTTTAAACGAAGCTCCTGGGCCTTGATCATAACATCAACTTCAATAACATAAACAATATTTCTACCCCAACATCAGCCTGAAGTTGCAATAAGGAGTTGATCTTCCTATTGAGTATTTTGAATTGTTTACCAAACATTAACATATGATCTGGGATGTTCTCCTCTTCTGGATCAAATTGGATTTCGGCAAAAGATCCCATAAATTCACCATCTTCTGTGGTATCATCCTCGTGAATGGATTTGGGGCCATCAGTGGATTGTGAGGGAAATAAAGAAGTGATTGGTTGATCCACAATGTTTTCAAAAGTGGGTGAATAAGTGGATTGTCGTAATGTAGTAAAAATGGATGATTAAAATGGTGGTAGAGAAGTTGTGGCAATAATACTAGATGTCTCGAAAGAAGATGAAATGATAATAGTAGAAGTATCTTGGGCTTTGTTATTCAACACCCCATCACCCTTGTTGACATTTGTGTCCATATGAGATATTGTCACACCCCCAAACTGGAATGACGGAAAGGTTCGGGGGCGGATGACTTCATGTGGTAACGTAACAAATGAATACATAGTAAAGAAAGCAATACAACCATCATATATATAATTGAAAGTTTACATTGTTTAAAAGAGTACATGCTAGATCCCCTCGGCAAATTTCGAAATTATTTTTATTATTTATTTTTAAAAGGTCACAGTAAGAAAATTTCCTTAGAAATTCATAACTTGGTTTTTGCTAGACTTTTTACCGCTGAAATACCATTGTTGAGACCTTCGATTCTCGTTTAGGTCATTCCGGCCAAAAGTCGCTCGATCTCTGATTCGAGTTTTTAGCCGTCTACCGTTAAGCCGAACTTGAAAAATTATATGAAGTCGGATTTGGGCGTTCTTTCTACGTACGATCACGGTTTAATGACATCTAACATAATAGGTAATTTAATTAGTGATTTTTGGATATTTTATTTTCGAAGTTAATTTTATTACAACTAACGTGGTTACAATACTTGACTTTTTAGGTCATTTACATGTAGTTGAAATATCGGGTTGTCACATCATCCCCCCGTTAGAGGGAATTTCGTCCCGAAATTTAAAGCAAGAAAGATACAAGTGAATCAGAGAAAAAGATGCGGGTACTTTTGTTTCATCTTATCTTTGCGTTTCCATGTGAATTTAGGTCCTCGCTTGGCGTTCCAGCAGACTTCACGATGGGTATGCGACTTTGTTTCATCGATTTGTTTATGCGACTTTGTTTCGTTTGTTACCCTCGGTCCATGATTCTACCGGTTCTTCCACGAAGTTGAGGCTCTCGTTGATCTCGATCTCGTCGAGTGGGATAACAAGAGTCTCATCGGACAGACACTTTTTCAAATTCGATACGTGGAAGGTTGGGTGTATGTTACTAAGTTCACGTGGTAGATTAAGTTTGTAAGCTACAGGGCCGATTCTCGAGAATCTCGAAAGGCCCTATGTACCTTGGATTTAGCTTTCCACGCTTTCCAAAGCGTATTAAGCCTTTCCATGGCGAGACTTTCAATAGAACACGGTCTCCTACTTGGAATTCCAAAGGTTTTCTCCGTTGGTCAGCGTAGCTTTTCTGTCGGTCTCTAGATGCTTTCAACCGTTCACGAATCTGAACGATCTTCTCTGTCGTTTCTCGTATGATTTCCGGACCGGTGAGAGTGTTTTCAGTATCTCGTCCTTTAGCTAGTTGTGTGTCACCAACTTCGGTCCAGCATAAAGGGGATCTGCACTTGCGGCCATAGAGGGCTTCAAATGGAGCAGCCTTTATGCTCGTATGATAACTATTGTTGTATGAAAATTCGACAAGAGGTAAATGGATATCCCATGCCTTTCCAAAGTCAATCACACAGGCTCTCAGCATATCTTCCAAAGTTTGTATCGTTCTCTCACTTTGCCCGTCTGTTTGTGGATGGTAGGATGTATTCATGTCTAATCTAGTCCCTAGGGAACTTTGTAGTGACTGCCAGAACCTTGATGTAAATCTACTATCTCTATCGGAGATAATGGACATCGGAACCCCATGCAATCGTACTATTTCCCTTATGTAAGTTCTTGTAAGCCTTTCCATCTTGTCAGTCTCCTTGATTGGTAGAAAATGCGTGGATTTGGTTAATTTTGTCGACGATGACCCATATGGTATCAAGTCCACCCGTTGTCTTGGGAAACTTGGTTATGAAATCCATAGTGATCCATTCCCATTTCCATTCCGGTATCTCTGGTTATTGTAGTAATCCTGAAGGTTTCTGGTACTCGACCTTAACCTTAGCGCAAGTAAGACATTTACTTACAAAGGTAGCAATCTCTGCTTTCATGTTAGGCCACCAGTACAGTTTCTTAAGATCCAAATACATTTTATCTGAACCTGGGTGAACGGAATACCTCGTGTTGTGCGCTTCAGTCATGACCACATCCCTGAAACCACCATGTCTCGGTGTCCATATACGGTCCATGAGATAATAGGCTCCACCACCCTTGATTTCTAGATTCTTTTCCATTCCTCTTAGGGATTCACCCGTCACATGCTCGGGTTGTAAAGCTTCCAGTTGAGCCTCCTTAATTTGTGTGGATAAATGGGAATGGATGGTCATATTCAGAGATTTGACTCTCCGACCAGTGTATTCTTTTCGACTGAGGGCGTCAGCTACTACATTGGCCTTGCCAGGATGATAACGAATCTCGCATTCGTAATCATTGAGTAACTCGACCCATCGTCGTTGTCGCATGTTGAGCTCCTTCTGATCGAAAATGTGATGAAGGCTCTTGTGGTCGGTGTAAATAGTACTCTTTGTTCTGTACAGTTAGTGTCTCTAGATCTTTAAAGCAAATACCACTGCTCCTAACTTGAGATCGTGTGTCGTATAGTTTACTTCGTGTGTCTTAAGCTGATGGGAGGCATAAGCAATAACCTTCCCTCGTTGCACAAGAACACAACCAAGCCCTTGATTCGATGCATCGCAATACACTACAAAATCTTTTATCCCTTCGGGGAGGGATAGTATTGGTGCGGTGCATAAGGCTTGTTTCAGAGTTTGGAACGCCTTCTCTTATTTTGCTTCCCAGTCAAAGACCACGCCTTTCTGGGTTAATGTCCCGATGCTAGAGAAGTTCTTTGTGAATCTGCAATAGTAGCCAGCTAGGCCTAAAAATTGACGAATCTCTGTAGGTGTCTTTAGTGCTGACCAGTTCTTAAATGGCCTTAATTTTGGAGGGGTCCACGTGTATCCCTTTTTCGCTAACAACGTGGCCCAAAAATTCGACTCTTCGAATCCAAAATTCACATTTAGAGAACTTCGCATAGAGCTTCTCTGATCGTAGTGTTTCTAAGACCCTCCGTAGGTGTTGACTATGTTCTTCCTTACTTCGGGAGTAGATAAGTATATCATCGATGAATACGATGACGAATTGATCCAAGTAAGGACGGCACACTCTATTCATTAGGTCCATGAATACTGCTGGTGCGTTGATTAATCCGAACGGCATCACTACAAATTCATAGTGTCCATAACGGGTTCGGAAGGCTGTCTTGGGAACGTCTTCCTCTAGCACTCGTAATTGGTGATATCCGGATCATAGATCTATCTTCGAGAAGTAGCTCGCTCCTTGAAGTTGATCAAATAGGTCGTCAATGCGGGGTAGAGGGTAACGATTCTTGACAGTGAGTTTGTTCAGCTCTCGGTAGTCGATGCACATCCGGAACGATCCGTCTTTCTTCTTTACAAACAAGACCGGTGCTCCCCAAGGTGAGAAACTTGGTCTAATGAATCCTTTCTGGTGAAGTTCGTTAAGCTGACTGGAAAGTTCTTGCATCTCTGTTGGTGCCAGACGATAAGGCGATTTTGCTATAGGGGTAGCCCCTGGAATTAAGTCGATTCTGAACTCGACTTGGCATTGTGGTGGTAATCCCGGTAGTTCTTCTGGGAATATATCGGGGAAATCCCGTACCTATGGGATGTTGTTTATATCCTTTACCTCACGACTCGTATCGACGATGTGTGCAAGAAATGCCTGATAATCCTTCCGTAAACACTTTCGAGCTTGGATGCACGAAATGATGCGAAGGTTTGTACTTGATTTGTCGCCGTAGATCACTAATG